CGCAAGTAGTGGTGTGCAAAAATGAAAACGATGAAAACGGGTAGGCTTTGACGTTGCATAAAATATAGTGTGAGCACGCACATGATACGCTGATTTAAAATGAAACAGCCCTACGTTTTACACTAGCGTTGAGCGTGTCGAAAGTTAAGGGTGCATCAAAAGCTAAAGCTTGTACACATATACTGCTCAGGCCATTGTGTTTGAATGCTCAGAGTAATTTATTACCCTCAGATTTGGTGTAAGTTGTCTCCTGATTGCTTACAGCAGAAAGAAGAAGACATTCTAACTCTGGATTGGTAGAAAAGCTCCACCTGCTGACGGCCACCAATCATCTCGGCGCCGATTATATATTCACTGCATGCCAAGGGTCGCGTGCTAAGAACGAGTTTTTCCCACGTGATTTCATACGATCGCAATTGTTCTTGACAAACAACAATGTTTAGTCAGGCAAGTGGTGATATGTGAAGCTTAGAATATTTTCTATTGATTGTGGCACACGTGGCAAGTTGCATAATTTTTTTTTCTAGAATTCCCGAAAAAGAATGCTCTTGGGTTACCTTGGTCTCTAATCATTCATCATAAAAGAGCACGAACTGAATCGCTGTTTGAAACGAAAACAATAATGATAAACAAGCGTGTAATCACGCGAACACTGAGGGCATTGCACATACACAGAAGGTAAGCTTTGTCTCACTAAATACATTACCAATAAGATATTTGGTTTTATCCTGCGAGCGAAGCGGAACATACAAGTGCGAGCATACTGTCCTCAACTACACTTCCAGTGAACAAGCGCACCATCCAAAGCACCGAGCTCGCTTTTATAGCGTTTGGTGCGCTCAACGATCCCCACTGGAACAAGCGCGCCATCCAAAGCACCCAGCTCGCTTTTATAGCGTTTGGGGCGCTCAAACCTTTGAAAACACAATTATAATCAATTCTCTTATTTCAATTATTTTTATTAAGTGCGCCTATGCGTGTTTTCTTTCTTTTTTTTTTTTTACTTTTACATTCACGTGCCATTTTCTTAGTTATATATTATTTTCCCAGAAGTCTGACAACTATAGTCTGTTTCATTATAAGTAAGAGCCACATAATCAAAGATGTAGACAGAAAATTAAAAATAAAAAAGAACGCGAACACACAATAAAAATGCGATGTAACGGCGCATTCAAAATTAGTCGTTAGTTTTTTTAGAGAGCAGCAATTTCGTAGGACGACATTGTTACCCGATGAAGGTTATAAAAAGTGCAGTGCAACTGCTAGCTCGGGGTCTTTAACGTGCATTACGCGTATATGTGATACACGATCGCATGACGGTAGGATGCAGATGGGCGACTGAACCCAGGGTCCCTGCTAAAGCCCCTTGATAAAGGCGTTTTTTACAAGTACACTGTTAGCGAAAATGTAATATTTCGCCTGTTTACACCCCATTTTCACTCGTTAGCATATTTTTACACGCTCTGCTAGTGATAAATCGTCAAAAAATTACTTGGGGTAGTAAAAATTGGTGTTTCGGTTTCGGTTTACACGACTAGGCGTGTAAGCAACACTGAAAACACCCCAGCCCAACCACGTGAGCCCAACACCCCAAGACGTCGAGCGCCATGTTGCTTCTGCCTTGAAGCGGTACGGCGGACGTAGCAGCCGAAGGTGAGTGTTTGATTTTTTTTATCAAGTTTGTATAGAATGTAGCACGTCTCAGATTTTTATTACATGACATTCAAGAACGTTAGATTTGCTTTGACCAAGCCGGCTCAGGCGTTAAGCCCGATTCACACAACCGGCGTTTAGCCACCCCGTCGATTGGAAACGACTCGACTGCTCGCCGGTTCTTTTGCGCGAGCTTTCGCTCGGGCGCTGGGAACCCTATGAACTGTGGTGCTTAAAGCTAGCACAATTAGGCACGGCTAGCGTCCCGGTGGAAGCTGCAGAGAGCGGAAACCGAAGACACCGTCGCATAAGAGTGGCGAAGCCGCGATCCTGCGCTGATCGTTGTCCCGCCGCTCTCTCCGGCAATATCGACACTTCGCTGCTGGGTGTCTCGTATTTCGACGTTTTAGAGAAACTTGGCATTGGCAAGCGCGAGGAGTCTCTATATCGTTTTCTCCGTCGCCTGCGTGGAGGAAACACGGTGGCGATAGAAACATATGCTCATGCAGTCGGTCAACTTAGACAATCCCCCTGTTCCCTCAATCCTATCGCATTCTTTGACTGCGTTTGTGACAACAACGTTTCCCCAGTGTGAAAGCTTTTAGTCACAACGGGCTACAAACTGGGTTGTGCATTGCATGTAGCCCTGAGGGAATTCTTCGCCGGAGACACCAGCACATTAGTTTCATTGGTAAGGTGACCGGCCACTAACGTGTTTGGCAAATGAAGCGATCACGGGTAAGTAGAAATGCAAACAATGTTGAATGAATATTAAGGTGGTTGTAGCCAGAGCCTGCCAGTTGAAATCAACCTTTAACAATATAGTCTGCGGTAACTTCTTTTTGCACTTAGGATTGCAATTTAAAACACAAAGCCACTCCACATAGCTGTCGAAAATCGTGTAAACAACAGCAGTCATCGTCCCCGGTTCGGATGAGCGAAGCCTTAGCTTGATGAAAAGAATGGCGGTCTATAATTCTTGGTTGTTTCAATCACAACCTCACACAGCTGAACAGACAAACAAATCAAGGAAATATATCCCGCGCTGGCTTGCAAATCACAGCACACAAGCAGGGTACGTAGCAGAGCAGAAAACACTGGCAATGAGCACACGGAGGCATGCAGCTTCCTTTCTTTTTCCCTCGGCGAATGATTGGTTTGCTGCAGCATTCCGTAAGCATGTCGACATTCAAAAGTTGAGCCTGATCTGTCTTGCAGTGCCTTGCGGAACGGCAAGTATCGCCCACCATTCCACAAGGCACTGCAGGACTCGCAAATGTGTGAACAGTGCTTTGCAATAAAGGCCATGATCGGGCAGCAGGTGCCCATCTAAAGACATTTAATATTGATTGGCATTGAACTAACCTTTGGGCTTCATCACGTAGCAAGCATGGGTGAGGTATAATTCAAGAACATTTAATGTTAATACGTTGTGGTGCTTTCCCATATGTTTCGGTGTCACGGAGTGGGGTTCAAATTAATAAAAATAATTCAATGATCCACTCTGAGAATAAACGAGAAATTACGGGAAAAGAACAAGAGAGCTAAGTTCGACCATTGACTAGCGCTAGGTCCACGCCTGGTGTATAATCAGTAGAGAAAGATGATGACACAGGGAGGATAAGCAAACAAAAGATTAGATTTAATAAAGTGAAAAACTAAGCTGTACACGGCAATAGAGCACTCAACACAAACCACACTCCAGCTCAAAGCTATGGAGCCCTGCGAGCCAGAAACTAATACTAAAAAGACTCGACGCTCATAAAACCGGAATGAGCCAACAAAACAGTGACGAAAACCCGACACTAACAACGAGAGCAAACCGAGATGGAGCTCGAACGTTACCGCTACACACATGGGATAATCCCCCAAAACAGTCGCGACAGAAAGTAGCACTGTGTAAAAATCTTCCCAGCATTCAACAATTCGTACTTCAGAGCCAGAGAATGCAGTAGACAAGTCCTAGAAAACCAGGCTTAGCTTTCTGGTAGGTGCCGAGTCCAGTGCAGTCCGTAGTCTGGAGTTGTCGGCCGAAGAACGGCGTCTCGAAGTCCAGCGGTCCAATTAGAGGCTTGATGAGGTCGACACCGCGCACCACACAGCCACACACGCTTCAGCACAACAAACTCAAAAACTTGTCCGACAGGCAGGGCAGAAGCCAAAAATTACACGTTCCATGACTCATCTGCAGGGAGTAACCGCGTTGAGTAGCGACCCGGCCAGCTCTGGGGTTGGACTACCTTCTTTGTTCCCGAACCCCCTTTTATAGGCTCGTCTACCGACCAACCTCCTGTTTCCCCGCCTTTCGGGTCAGTCAACTTTCAAGAAAAACAAAGCTACACAGCAACGACCCAAATGGCAAAACCTATTACATTTTTCAGACAACCAAACATATGTGCCCATCCATTCCCCCGTACGAGTCCAAAAACATCAATTATCTCCGATATATAGAACACGACAGGCGGCAGACTGAGCAAAGCCGCCGCCTTCAAAAAGCGTGCTAGCCAGCGTAAACATCTTTGTATCCCGGCGGCGCCCCTGCATGTCAAATCGGCACCATACGCGAGCCAGCATACGCACCCCTCCATCCGCGAGGTCAAAGCCACAAACTGTGACCTGGGATGATCTACGTCGCCCGTTAACAAAAACCCATTCCGCAAACGAGCAAATTCGTTGGGGACTTAGAAAGGAACTACGACGGGACGAACTGAGATTAAAAGTGGCACCACACTCCCCCTTTTTGACCGTACCAAAACTTAAAGTGGTCCAAATAAAGATCATAAAAGTATTTAAAAAAATGAAGAGAAGCCTGAATTTGTGACACCCGGTTTCTCCATCCTGTGTTTTTTTTTTGTGCTTTTTCTATTACGAAGCGAGACATTATTCCAGCCGTAGGCACCAGATGTAATTCCCGTCTGCGATCATAAGATTATAGGATCCTAACTGCCGGCAGCTAAGTGTCAATTACATCCGGCTTGTGCATACAGTGCAACATCTTTTGCTATTCAGCCGATCATCACTTTACAGCCTGGGTATCTGTTCTTGTAAACGACAGTAGTGCTACATGTTAAACGGCTCTAAAGCGATAGAGCAAACTTCGCATCTCATTATCTTTTAGCTGAATAAACTGTTTGTTTGGTTATGCTTGTTATCCAATTTTTGTTTTAAATTTAATTTTCTCATATAAACACCTTACATTATAGAAAAAAAAATTTTATAGTACGGAGGTGTCCATATTAAGAAGACATGACTGTATCATCTTTGAAACTAGTTTGCCACAACCAGTGTTATAATATGTATTGATTTTTTATGCAGTGCCTGCCTTTCCTTGCCCCTTGTGAGGACGACTGAGAAAGCGACTTTGCGCCACAACGACGGATGGCAAGTGTCCCAAGTGTTGTCACCTATAGTGGTCATGTGCTATGTGTTCGCAGCATTGTAAGCCGACCGTGGAGCACTTTCAAAAGGGAACTTTCGCCATGTGCACAGTATGGCCGTGTACAATACGGGGCACGTACAGTCAGAAGAATTATGAGAGGGAACATGCGGGCGCGTGTCACTTGGTACTGGCAGAGCAGCCTAGCAAGTGTCATGCTTGTGCACTGAGGGGCCCTGGTTTGAAGAGCCGAGGCAGAAGTTTCAGCGGCGGTGTCACCGCCCTGGCGGCTTGTCGCCGAAGCAGAAACGGGGTTAGCTAGCTTTGCTCGTGGCTGGCTTTGTGTAGTGTGTGTAAACCGGGAACGTAGGCTTATGAACTTCGGCAACAAGAATACTACACGGCTTTGGTGTTTTGGTACGAGCAACAAACGTGACACTATCTGCTACGACTAGCTACGACCACCCACCGCAGCGGTGAAGGCATCGAAGAAGCAGAACCTGTGTATTACGCCGTTGCCGTAACCCAACAGTGCTCATTTGTCATGGAGGGCTTTCCGCCCAGAGACTTTGCTCGTCACTGAGTGTTATTTCCCGTGTTTCTCTTTGTGTGCTCAGTGGCTGGACGGGCCTCATACAGCAGTTCTTCAGGCTCAAAGGTGACTAAAAGTTGAGGGTGGATGGACTTGCAGCAATCCCCTCGGTTGGTGCGTGTGACAGAACCTTTGTACGGCATCATCGGGAGGATGCTGTTGTGAGTTAGCAAGTTGTCCAGTTGTATGTTCATTATGCTAATATTTGAAAAAGCTTGTTTAAAAGGATGCTGGACCAAAATTTGGATTTCATAAAATAAGGTCGCGGAAGCTTTGAATGGGAGCTCTACAAACTCCGAAACATCACTCATACATTAATATCGCAAACGGATGGCCGTATTCTTGGAAAGGAAAGGGCACAATCAAACAAGAAATGTGACATCATACTTCTGGTACACTTTAGAATGAGGGGAAGCGGCCTCGCTTCTTTCATTCCCGCTTCGGTTCACCTGCTTAAAGGCCGCCCTGCAAGCAGAGAGAAGGAACCCGACCCTCACTTTCCTTCTCGCCACTGTGAAAGGACGAAATAGCCTCTCGTTTCCTCCTCGCCGTTTTCCGTTTTTTTTTTTTCTTTTTTTGCTAACTGCTTGTTTTTTTTTTTTTTTTTTTTTTACAAGTTTGGGGTGGAGGAAATGAAAGCTTCGAGGATTTGAAAAGATTATCCAGAAGCCAGCCGGCACACCTGCGACAAGGAGCTGAACCAACCGAGTAACTGTTTTGAGCGAGCTTGGCACTTGCTCTTCCCAACGAGTTGCATTGGCTCTTTTTTAGCATTGGTTTGGAAGACGATTCTTTGCTGTTGTGAGAGCACAAATACCTCGTTCTGCTAAAAGAAGTAGTCATTAAAGTATCAATTTTAATATAAATATCTGATCTGGCATATTTCGTTGTCGGATTCATGGTGACAACGGGAAGTACGAGCGGCGTTTTCTGTATATCAGGGATGGCACTCCATAGACCAGTGGTTCTGAATCATTATGGTTCGTAAACCGCCAGAGGTGACGGAGGACCCCATCCGTAGTGGGTCTAGCAGTTTTCGGCGTGGAGCGTTTTGCTGTAGGGCATTTCGGTGCGGACGTTTCGGTGCACGGACGTTTCAGTGTACGGACTTTTTGCTGCAAAGACTTTTTGGTGTGGGACTTTTCGGTGCGCGGATATTTCGGTGCACGGACATTTTGATACATGGACATTCGACGCTATGGTTTGCTCTCCGGTATCTCTTTTCCAACGTACGCAGACACGCTTCACATCGTGTTTGCGCGTTGAGTTGATAGAGATAGTCTCCTCTATAAGGTTTTTGCTTTATTATTGGTCATACGTGTAGGAAAGGACCCAAACAGCAAGACGTTTGAGGCTGTTTGTGTATTCAGAACAATTTTGAATATCTTCAAATGCGCCGCCTCCGCGTAATCGCACAGCTTCGATTGTTAATAATAAATTGTGATAACCTCGCACGACAAAAAAAACAATGTAATTATCACTTGTAACTCATTAGGGAATAAAGGAGGCGTGTGCGGGTACAAGATAAGTGTAATAAAATCAAATATCGATTTGAATCAAGTAAAACAAGTGGAATTTGGTGAATGCTAAATCTATTTTATTTGGTATCAAATGTTTGCTCATTCTCGTACGAAAAAAACAAAACAAAAAAAAAACAGTGACCATGCACAGAGCATACACAGCGTATGATCTGTGGTCAATGTCTCCTTCCATGCCGTAATGATGTCGCCGGACGTAAAGAACTGCCTTACAATCCTGCTTATTCAGGGCAATTTTTTTTTTTTTTAACGACTAGACATTTTTCTACAAAAGACGTTCGAGTTACGCAATTTCGGTTTGTGCCTTATCTGTAGTCATCAAAAACACCAAATCATTCATTTTTAAAGAGATGTAGTGCACGTGAAATGGTTCACGGCGTCCTAAAAAGCCTAGTAAAACATATAAAATAGCGCAACAGAAACAAGGACAAGAAGTAAACAGGACAGGCGCTAACTTTCAACTAGTTTTATTCTGGAAAATCGAACACATATATATGTGTTCGATTTTCCAGAATAAAACTAGTTGAAAGTTAGCGCCTGTCCTGTTTACTTCTTGTCCTTGTTTCTGTTGCGCTATTTTATATGTTTTACTAAGATGAACCAACTAGCCCAACAACGTACCTTACTAAAAAGCCTAATTTGGACGCGAATCGTGTTACCGCAATCTTTTCGGCCGCCGCACTCCTCGCCCCTTCTACAGTGGCGTTGTCTCAGCGATGCGCATGATTTGCCGTTTTGGCTTCATGGCGTTAGGCTGTGCCACGCGGAGATGGAGCCCACATAAAATCAGAACTATATTTTCGCGCCCAAATTAGGACGACGCCCTATCAAGACGCCGTATAACAGTGTACGCGCTTTACATCTTTTTAAGGATGGACGGTTTGGTGGCTCGCGATTACGGCCAACAACTTTCTAAATACACGATGTCGTTTTTCTTTTCTAACTAAAAGGTTAATTAGCGAATTTTAGGCAATCGATCGGTTTTAGTTGCGTTCTTTATTGAACCTAATCCTCGCCTGGCCGTATAGCTCACCTACACAAATCGCAATGGCGCTAATTTTCACTGGACAATTTGGTGGCTTTCGATAATGCCCAACAACTTTATGAATCAACTATCCCGTTTTCTTTTATATTCAAAAAGTTAATTAACAAATGTTAGGTAACCAGTCGGTTTTTGTTGCGTTCTTTCTTGAACCCAATCTTCACCTGGCCGTGTAGCTCACATCCACAAAACGTTAATTTGCATGTTTTTTTCTAATATCTTGTAGGTGAAAAAAAAAGAAAGAAAATCAACGCTGTATATAAAACAGAGGGCAGTTCTTTTCTGATATAAATAAAGCGTGAAGCACGTGCCTTGCATGCATCTCTCTTTTTTTTCCCGGCCTCTAAAAACAAATTTCTGGACATTCGAAATTGAGTTTAGGATGGGGCGGGCGCTTTATCACAAGGTATTTTGTCATGTTTCATAAGCTTTGTTACAGGTCAGAAGGAAGCCACGGCAGTCGTATCACGTTGCAAACAGCTAATTGGGGTGTTTCTCAAGGAGCTCTAGGACTTTCCAATTAACATTTCGGTTCTTAATACATTTAAAAAAGTTTGGTACTTAGTCCTAAACATTTAATTTATGAGGCATAATTAAAAATACTGCAACTCTCGCAAGACGTCTGCCCAAAACATAAAGTTCGTTTCATTGGCGTAAAGTGGCTGCGCTCTAATTTCGCGTTACAGAGATTTGCAAGCGTCTTTCATTTTTATGCTTGGTTTTTAAAGATTCGTGAAAAGCATTCTCGAACTTATCTGTCAAGCCGCGTACGCGGACAGCGCGGCCTCCTCGGCAAGTTGTTCGAAGACGACAATGAATAAAAGGTACGATCAAAGTCTTAATTCCTGAAGAAAGCGCGAGTTTAAAATAATTCTAGGAGCGTCAGTTGATTTTATTTCTACTAAATTCAAATTTCAACACTCGTCGCAGGCAGCATGAAAAAAAGCACTGCACTCTTGGCGCAAACCAGTGCCCAGCCAACGGTCCTACACTCAAACACGCATCACAACCCGACCTGTTTGAAAAATAAATAATTTCCAGTACCTTGGTACAAAAGGCAACTTTTCTACTGAGCGTGATATTTTGTGGACCCAAAAGTCCTGTGGCCGAGATTTGGTAGTTCATAGCTTCAGGGAGACGAAGAATGACGGATGCATTATTTCCCGCGGAAGTACTGTTTTGACGTTGAATTCCACATAAAATTGTATTTGCACCCATTGGGTGGCACGATACCGATCATGCTTGATTACTTTTCTTTTAGAGACAACATAACAGGCATAATCTACAGATATTGCAGAATTTATTTTAATTCGCGTACAGCGCGAAAGACAAGTATGGACTAAAGACTACAATAGAGCTCTGCATTTTGTACTGCATTTATTTCTGTACTTGTGGACAGTTAGTCCGCATGACTATATTCAAAAATTGCAAAATCGTTTAAACCTACCCCTTTTTATAGTTTTTTTTTTAGATGAATTGTAGCGAATCCCGTCTGGGGTTCGGGTAAAGATCTCGCACGTGTTCAAGGACGCATTTCGGCATGATTTCCCGCTTGGTGACAACGTTGAGCTGGCCGCTGTTCCGCTTCTTTTCAAACTAGGACGGGCAACGCCAGATGCCTAAATTAGCCAAGCAGCCCCAAAACTTGCGGTAGTACACTTTCCGAACACCTGGGTTTTTTTTGGAGATGGTCGCTGGCCTTCGCCCACCCTGACAGAGCCCCGAACAATTATGATGCAAGGGCTGCAGAGGCTATCTGCGCATTCCATTTCTTAATCAGCGAACAAATCGGAACAGAAGAGAATGAAAACTTCGTAATACCTCCTGTCTTTT